TGTTGTTGATAAGCTTTCATTTTGTTAGAAACACATTGGTGTACAGCTGCACACCAACTACTCTGCTTTTCCACAGTATCTCCTTGATACTGAATTCAAGTATCAGCCATGGAGACTTTCAATCCAACTATGTATATGTGCAGCACTTCCTGTTTTAAGCAGGTGTCAACAGAGGAGGCTCGGGCCTGGAAATGTGTTGCAAAAAATAGTGGGGTTTTTTTGTACATGAATCATGAATAGGATGGTTAAAAAGGTAGAATAATCCACATTGATGTGTCCCTTTAAGAATAACAACTGCTTTAAATGATAATACAACACTACATGTATAACCAGCCAAAAATGTGGCCTTAAACAATTAATTCCAATGATTACATTATTTCTTGCTCCTAATATTTCATACCTAGGGAAAGAAATGCTATAATGGATTAAAAAGTAATCTATTTTAAAGCCTTTAGGGATTTACAAGTATAGTACTGTATGATTATTTGAAGCCAATTGCATAGTGCCAAAGGTAATTTGTTAATAGCTTAGAATTAAAAGTTGAGCGCTAATCATTCATATTCTGCTTTGAAAAAACATGAACATATTTAAATTTAATAGGTCCGTGTGGAATTATCATCTAGTTAAATTGCACTGTAAATATGTTAAGAAGACTGTCAAACAAGTATAATTGTTGTCTCACTGTTGCTTATAATTAAATCTTAAATACAATGCATGCAAGGTCTTTCTGTGTTATACAAAAAAATAAACAAATTACAATTGTTAGCCTGTAAAATATGATTTTATGGAAAATATGAGTAGAGGATTAAAGATGTGTCTAAGCTTCTAAATCAGTGGAAAAATACAGTGCCATTTTTTCCAAAAAAATATCAAAATGTAAATGTTTTAGTTTCTGTTATTAGTAGTGCTGAGCGGGTTTTACATATAGGGTTCTAGAAAATAAAGTCTTATGTTTCAATGGATAATTGAATTAATAAATATAAATTATTTATAAAATATAATTTAAAACAAGCTCGTCTTTATTTTTCTTTTTTTTTTTTACAGTTGCTCAGTTCAGTAACAGAAAAGCATGATAAACAAAATTAACCTTTTAACTAATTTATGGAGAAGGGATTTATGGACCCCTTGCTTTTACAAGATAATATAACAACTCTTACTACAAGAGATGGAATCATAGGAATATAAGGATCCAGAACCCTTATTTACATACAACAATGTTTTTTGTAATTGCCGCAAATGCACAATAGTGTTTTTCCAAAGGTCTTGCCTTTGTCATGTTAATACATACATTGGTAAAACTTAATTACATAGCATATACATAAATAACATTAAGGAAGAGGTGTGAGTGTTGGAAGTCACGTTACCTTAACATCATAGTAATATCACAAATAAGTGTATTGTGCAGGGGTGTTGCTAGGTCCGAAAAATACCCACACCAAAGCCCAAAGTAAAACGTGATGGCTCGTCCCCCAAGAGCCTGTCCTTGAACACACCCTTTAATTCTCTTAATTTCTACAACTTTCCAACCTACACAAACAGCAGATAAATATACTCAAGATCACTTTTCATTCAACTACTATGCTGATCATTTGACATCGTGCTTTGAGGATGAAAAGAAGATTAACAATTATTTGGCCAATGAAGATCAAATCTACCATGCAATAAATGCCAATGGCACCCATGCCAACCTAACTTTCTCTATTCAACCACCTACAACAAAGACAACAATGTCTGCATAATTATTAATTTAACTGGTAATTGCATTAATTATTATTCATTGTGCTGTGAAGGTGAAAAGAAAATCTAGCATGCTGCCTTAGGACCTACAATAGTTGCAAATAGAACCCATGACAATTTGCATGACAATTTGCATTTAAGTATTCTATTATAGATATCCACCCAAGCACAGCATACATAAATAATCAGAATATTTATTAATGCAATTAAAGCGTTTTGTATACATTTGCTACAAAGGTGAAGATTTAAGGCCTAAGGAATATGAAAGATAAGAATGGTATGTAGAGAGAATTTTCTGTCTTTCTAACTAGGAGGCAGCACGATTAAAGTAAAATGGAGAGAGTCTTTTAGCCTTCTAGCTTCGAGCTATTGCTGCATCATGCTACTGGGACGTGCAAGCTGGCATTTCACTTACTTACCATAAGTGTGCAAGGGAGGAGGAATGAGACTAGGACAGATAATTCTATGAAAGTGAGTATGACCATCCCCTCTCCTTCCCCCAACATTGGCGTTCTGAGAAGTGGGGCACCATAGGAGGGGTAAAGGGGGTGGGCTAGTGACATGATTGTATCACTGGCTCCACCCGTAAGAGGCATATGTGCCAAGAATGTAGGCAGGAAATACTGACATGTCAGTCTGGTGTGAATATGCACCAGTCTGCCTGCCAATCAAGCAGGCCAGCTCACCAATGGCAAACTATGAAGGGAGCACTGATTTGGTGTTCTCTGCAGTGTCCTATATCCCTGAGTGTAGTGCAAGCATGTCTAATGCTTTTCAGAGACAGTTCCCTGGTGTATCCAAAAGCCTGATACCAAGGAACAAAGTCAGTGGGATAGGATATAAAAATATGGATTGTCCTGCCAAAATCAGGATGGTTGGGAGGCATGAGTGTCATGAACACACCCTACTCCCAGAGTCTGCGTGACTTAGTTGTGGTGGTGAAAGGGTTAAAGTTCACTAGACCTGAAAAATAGCCACAGTGCATACAAAAAGAAATCACAAAGAGAACTTTTTACACCAACAACAGATAAAAACAAAAAGGATTAATTAACAGAAGTCCAAATTACTTACTCACTTAGGTCTTAAAAGTAAAATTTCTGTCCAGGGGTCTCTGGCAAGGAAAGATGGTGGCTCACTCAAAATTAGATTGTGGCCCCCAGCAAGTACATGTCATTTGATATTTACCCTCTGGATTCATTTCATGTTTCCAAGCTGGGCTCAGAGGTGGAGATAAGGCATATCTATAGAAACTATAAGCAGTGGTGTATTTTGGATCTGTGCTTCCCTAGGCATGATGGAAATCGGGCACCCCCTAATTTACATTTGCCCCACCCATTCCTGCCAATGCCAAACCTCTTCCTGTTAAAGACTAACACACATAACTTTGACTGACAAACACACACTCTCAGATACACTGACATACACACACACACACTGATTTGACACAATCTGACAGACACACACAATCACCGACTCACTCACAGACACACACACACAATTACTGACATGCACACACAATGACGCAGACACACACTCACTCACTGACACACTGTCAGGATTACAGAATGATCCAGCACGTAGAACTGTGTAACAAAGAGGACTGATAGGTAACGTATACCGGACCTTAGAATGGCCGGACTAACGTACCAAAGAATAGACAGGAATAGCCGAGGTCAAGGGAAACAGAAAGAGACACAACGATAAGGAAAAGCCAGGAGTCAGGGGTGCCAGAAAACAGGGAAGTCAAAAACAATGCCAAAGTCAAATAAGCAGAATAACCAGAATCAATAATGCATTCTCAGACAACCACAAGGGAAACCACGACAGGGCACTGAGCAGGATGAGAACTGGGCCTAAATACCCCTCCTCTAGATCTGATAGGCTGTAACTGGCCTTTGACCCCAAAGGCAGTTACCAGATCTCATTTGCATAATTGCTGCTCAGCAATAACCCTTCTGTGGATTTGGTTGTTGCATGGCACAACTTCCAGTGTTGACAGTAAATGTCATTAACCAAATTTTTGTAAGCGGATGAATATGTGACACACACACCCACTCACAGACACACACACTGACAGGCATACACAATCACTCAGACACACATTAACTGACCGACACACTCACTCACAGACCAGACACATCCTGACAGACACACACAATCACTCAGACACACAGGCTCCCTCGCAGACACACACACTCACAGACACACTTACAGATAGACACACACACACATACACACACAGACACACAGGCACCATCACAGACACACACAATTACTCAGACACACTCTGACAGACATACACTCACTCACAGACACACACTGACAGACATACAGACACACTGACAGATGTACAGACACACTGACAGACATACACACACACTGACAGCCACACACACACACATACACACACACACACTGCCAGCCAGGCACAGACACACACACACTGCCAGACAGACAGACAGACACACACACACACACACACACACACACACATTTCGCCCCTCACCCCCAACACTCACAGATTATTTTTAAATTTTAATTTAAATCCACCCAGCCTCCCTACCTTTGGGAGAGCTTTGTGGATTTTTTACCTGGGGTCCAGTGGGGCTGCTGGCCAGGCTGCGAGCTCTTTGTGAGCTCTCTCTCCCTTGCGCACCGCAGAGTGATGCCGGGAGCCTTGGAACTCAGCTAGCCGCCTGCCACCAGGCTAAAATAGTATTTGCCTGTGCATTTTAGGGCAGCGCTTTTTGCTGCCTCCTGGAAAGTGCCGCCCAAGGCAAATGCCTTGTTTGCCTTGCAGCAAATACATCACTGACTATAAATGACCATCCCTTTGTTTTCCAGACCAACATCAATCTAAACATAAAATTTTGTTTTTCTCTCCTCTTCTGTACTTGCTACAGAAATAATAATTACATCTATCAATTTTTTACCATTTTTCCATTACGTAGATATCACACTTCTTACTTGTGACCTAATATAGTGGACATCACAATCCATTTCAAATGGATTAAGTCCCGGTAACCATGTCTAGACTTGTTTAGAAGAGTGTGCTTAGCCAATCTGAAATATGCACACAATGGGGCTTAATTATTCATCTGTGGGTTATTACTCGTGTTTCTTTTGGATCTGACACTGATATGACACTGGAACACAAAGGTCCTTTGATATGATAATTTACATATCAATGAAATTCACTATCTATTAAGAGTTACAGGTCATATGGTCAAAGTCAGTTAGTTTACAATGAAACTAGACATACAGGCAGCTCAAATGTCAAATATTACACCTTGCAGAGCCTTGATTGATCAAATGAGCAATTCATGATGTTAACCATCTGACCTCTCTCACATTCCTATATGATTTGCATTAACCCATTCTGATATCTGTTCTCTACCAAGTGGCCAATTCATTTATGCAGTGCACAAGTTACATTAAATAGCAATATTCTATAGTGCAACAATGAATTATGTACCCTTACCGTGAAAATGAGTATGACTAATGTGCAATCAAGTAGTTAGATTGAGTTTTAGGATCCCTGGCAGTAAAGGGAAGCCTGGTATAGTGGAGGAACCCCATTAATAAAAACAAATGGTGGTTATGTTCCTTGGGTACATGAAAGTGGCATAGGGTGAAGTACTTTCTCTATACATAAGAATACTTACTACAATTCAAACTTTGTACTTACCTAGTTTTATTAATACTAAGGAAAGCTCCACATCCCTATCCTCCTCTTTGCTTCCTCCTGCTGTCATGCTTGTTAGTGTGCATTAGCTCAGTGTGGTCAAGTCACAATGGAATGAGCTGCAAGTTGGTTGCTAGTGACCATGGAGTTCTGAAGGACTACAGAATACATTGCCTAAGTATAAGCATCCTCACCTCCACAAATAGCTATGTAACTGTGTACAGGGCTGCCATCAGAAATTGTGGGGCCTATGACACAGTTCAAGGTCTTTATTTTACTCCCCCCTCCCTGCTTCTTACCTGGCCAGGAAGGGGAGAGATCACATTCCCTGGTGGTCCAGTGGCTTGGTGCTCTGAGCCAGCTGCTGAACTCTGCAGAGGGGGCCCGCAGCACACTCTCACTTCCCTTCCCAGCAGCTCCTGTCTCTAACTCTCGTGGCCATGCAGGCCTTGGCCTGCGTTGCCATGGTAACCTATGGCAATGCTCTGATGGCCACGGGACTCGCAAAATTTAGACAGGGGAGCTGCTGGGATATAAAGGTGTACATCCCAGAGCAGTCCGGGCCCCCCAGGACCGCTGGGCCCATGACAACCATCATGGTTGTCATGCCCTGATGGTGACCCTAAATGTGTAACAATGAAAGAAAAAAAAGATTGCTTGCCAGTGTATTTGAGGTAAAAGGGAATGTATAGTGTTAGAAATACAAAGTTGTAGTTTTAACACTAAAGAAACACAAAAAGAGTTAAAAGGTTAGCATGCAGAGAGAAGGGGGGGTGAGAAGTGCAGATTACCAGTAGCCCCAGACTCCTATCAACTTCAGCCAGCAGGACCCACTGGAACCCTCTTGCACTTAAAAGTAATGGAAACAGGAGGGTGGCTAAAATATGGAAATATTGACTTGTATGTGTATTTCAGTATGTGTATGTATGTATGTATGTATGTTTGTATGTATCTGTTAGTGTGTATGTGTTTCTGTGTCAATATGTGAATGTATCTATACAAGATCCGTCTTGTCAACATACAATATTGTACTATGATATTTTTAATGTTTTCTGTATAGGTGCATACCAAGTCACTTTGACCGCCAAAACTCACAATTAGTATATTGTACAATATATATGTGGTTTGATTGCACTTTCCCCAATTTTCCTTGTATTGTGACACTTTACAGGTTTTGTGTTATGTGTATGTATCTGTCAGTGTATATGAGTCAGCATGTGTGTATCTGTGTGTGTATATCTGTCAGTATATGTGTGTATCTGTGTCAGTGTGGGTGTGTATCTATGTGTTTCAGTGTGCATATGTATCTGTGTCAGAGCCGAATTAGGGGCTGATGGAGCTGCAGCTCCAGGTCCATGCCCATGGAAGAGGTCCATTGCTAAAAAAAAAAAAAAAAATGTAGGGAAACAATATTTGTAATGACTGGCTGACAATGAAATTAGTTGAGGTAAAGCTGACTTTGTATGCAAATGCTCTTGCTTGCTGCTTTTAGTCTCTCTAACACTGTGGCATGTTTCCTTTCTTCCACACTCATACATACACATTTTCTCTGTCCCAGACTGTGTAACATGAGCTTCTGCCTGTTAGTAAGAAGGTAAGGAGAGTAGTGGACAGGGAGTTCTAGGGGACAGTACTTTGAAAGAGTGGAGTGAATGCATCAGTAGACGCATTAATACCAAGCTCAGGGTGCTGTCTGCATAGTATGTCCTTAGTTGGCCAGCCTGCATGATTGGCAGGCAGCCTAACATGCATTCATGCCAGGCTGACCTTCTTATTGCTCGGGCAAATTTTGGGGGGCATGTTTGCCCCTTTGGGTGGTTCTTTTTACATGATTCGCGTCAATGGCCCACCCTTTTACCCAGCCCACCTAAATCCTGCTTCTCCGGACACTGCTGTTAGGGGGTATGGATTTACTTGAAAAATTAACGTGAGATATTAGCATAGGGTATGTGTTTTCTAATAGCTATATCCTGTGAGTTTCCCTCCAGCACCACCTCCAACAGATACATGATGCTTGGGAGGTATAACGGTTTTAGTGTTTTCTGTCGATACTATTCTGTAATTAGGCCCTTCACAAATGTCAGCAACAGGCCCAATGGGCTCTTAATCTGGCCCTGGTTATTATGTGTGTTTATCAGTGTTTGTGCATGTTTGTGTGTGTGTGTGTGTGTGTGTGTGTATGTTTGTGTGTTCTTGTGTATCAGTGTGTATAATCTGTGTCAGTATGTGTGTGCATCTGTTTATGACAGTGTATATGTGTGTGTCAGTGTGTATGCATATATGTATTTATGTCAGTGTGTAGTATAGTGGGACAGTGTATGTGTATATATATGTCCATACATCCCAGCATTGAAACACCAACACAATACAAAAATAAACCCCTGCATTTAAATGCCAACACTACAAACAAATGCATACCTACATTAAAACACCAACACTACACACAAATGATCAACTGAATTCAAATGCCAACACTACATGCAAACAAACTACTGCATTCAAATGGCAACTGTACATACAAATGCACTACTACAGTCACACACATACTCCAGGCAAAAATACACTTATATTCTAACACACAAACACTGTTCACAAATACAGCCCTGCAAGAATTGGAAAATGGTAGATCTCCAGCCAGCAAAGCAATATGGGAGTTGCTAGAGGTGGTCCAAAAGAATTTCTTGCACAAGGTTCCTCTCTGCATTAGTTGCATCACTGCTATCAGTCTCATATTATCATATTTCTACTATGTATATATTTGCAGTACACTATTGGTTTGTCTGATTAGTTTTTGAATTGTTTTTTTGGTACTGAAACTCTGCTTTGCCAAACTGACACATGGCTGGAATTCTTGCATCCCAAATATTTTTCTATTTTCGTGAAAATTGGTTCAGCCAAACCAAATTTTTTCACCATGCACAACTGATCCTCTGCCCACCCATAGGATCTGTGGGTGTTACCATGCTGACCCTGTCTGCTGTGATTGTCTCCTTGGTGTTGCTTCTCCTAAGCAGGGGATTTCTCCAGGCTCATGCCTACATCCCTGCATTCTATACTATTCCAGCAAGCAGAAGGTATGCGATGGGGAGGTTTCTGTTGATCATTGGCATGGGAACCAAAGAAAATGGTGGGGGTGGGAGGGGCAACCTTTCATAGTAATACCAGCCCGACCTACGGAGCATGCTGTTTTCTACAGGTAAATATGGATCTTATCACAAGGAGGTCTATTAGTAAAAAGAGATGAACAATGGCATGTTCATCCTTTATCTTATTTAATATCCCTACCAGATGACGATAGGTGGAGCCTATCAATATTATTTTTCTCACCTACGGATTGGGCTGGGAGAGGACACTAGATATGCCTTTATTAATATTAGAGCCTCCACATGCCACCCATGGTTTTTGGACTGCTGGACACATTAGGTTCCCCCATTTGTCAATAGTTAAGTCCCACCCACAGCCCATGAATGGGGAGGGGGCATTATGTCCCTATTCAGTTTATTAATTACAACCCCACCAATGAACCACACTAAGACCCCCTTTATTTTCATCATAGACTACCAACTGCTTGCTATGGGCAAATGTATGGGGGATCACTATGTCCTCCTGTATTCTTATTTAATTAGGGCCCCACATGCCCTAATTAGCAAAACTTGAATTTTTGTAAGTGATAGCCCTCCACATGGGTTCCTGTTCTTTAAATTATTATTATTATTTATAAAGCGCCAACAAGTTCCATAGTGCTGTACAATGGGTGGACTAACAGACATGTGTTTGTAACCAGACAAATTGGACACACAGGAACAGAGGTATTGAGGGCCCTGCTCAATGAGCTTACATGCTAGAAGGAGAGGGGTAATGTGATACGAAAGATAAGGGTAGGGTAGAAAAGTAGGTTGCTAGGATCGTGTTCATTTAGGACTTAGTGTTTTGTTTTGATGACAGTTGCAGGAGCTGAAACAGGGTGCGAGGAGGGAAAATTAGGGGTGTACATTACTGGCAACTGGGCAACAATACTGTCACGGGTTTACATAGTTACATAGTTATATAGCTGAAAAGAGACTTGGGTCCATCAAGTTCAGCCTTCCTCACATTTGTTTTTTGCTGTTGATCCAAAAGAAGGCAAAAAAAACCAGTTTAAAGCACAATTTTGCAACAAGCTAGGAAAAAAATTCCTTCTTTACCCCAGAATGGCAGTCAGATTTATCATTGGATCAAGCAGTTATTACCCTACAGTGAAAGATTAAGGGTTTGTTAGTCTATTAATGTTATTCCTTCAATCCTCCACTAGTCCTAATTCCAGATGTGCTGAATATAGTGAAAGTATTCCCTTTGTGTAGAGTTTCCCCAATGTAATAGACACAGCCAGTCATATATGGTAAAAGCAGCAATCTAAACGTTACTAGGCCACACTCAGCTTTTTATGCAGTGACCCAAGCATGGGGTTTCCAATACAAAATCACAGGGGTTTCCTTCCCACAAGCCATTGTGTTTAAGAGATAATCTAGCTCCAATTAAGATAATCCAATTATCTCTCAAATAGAAAAAACTTACATACAATTTTTACACATCACAAAAATACATGACAACAGCATTGGAACCGCACAAAAATTATATTCACGAAAAGCCCCGATCTGAGCTCACAACAATTCCAAAAAGCACTCAGAATAGTACGGTAAAACTAAAGTTATGTTCGTGCATATATGAACTGGCTGACTGGTAGAGGTGGTATTGTCAAATTCAAAAGGGGTCAATTTGACTATGTGGGAGGTCAGAGCTTACAACCTAAA